CCGGTATGTATCCTTTTATGAGTCTTAAGAGAAGACTGTTGGCTGAATGTTCTTTCACACACATTGCATCTAAAAGGTTTCTCTTCAGTATGTATCCTTTTATGAGTCTTAAGAGAAGACTGTTGGCTGAATGTTCTTTCACACACATTGCATCTAAAAGGTTTCTCGCCAGTATGTGTCCTTTTATGTTTCTTGAGATCACATTGTTGACAGAATGTCTTTGCACAGAAATCGCATCTAAATGGTTTCTCACCGGTATGTATCCTTTCATGTTTTTTGAGATTAGATTTTTGACTGAATTTTTTTTCACAGACATTGCATCTAAAAAGTGTTTCTCCGGTATGTGTTCTCTCATGAGTCTTGAGAGAAGACTGTTGGCTGAATGTTCTTTCACACACATTGCATCTAAAAGGTTTCTCGCCAGTATGTGTCCTTTTATGAGTTTTGAGGTAAGATTGTTTATTAAAACATTTTTCACAGAAATTACATCTAAAAAGTTTCTCGCCGGTATGTATCCTTTTATGAGTTTTGAGGTTAGATGGATGACAGAATGTCTTTGCACAGACATCGCATTTGTAAGGTTTCTCTCCGGTATGTATCCTTTCATGATTTTTGAGATTAGATTTTTGACTGAATTTTTTTTCACAGACATCGCATCTAAAAAGTGTTTCTCCGGTATGTGTTCTCTCATGAGTCTTGAGAGAAGACTGTTGACTGAATTTTCTTTCACACACATTGCATTTAAAAGGTTTCTCTCTGGTATGTATCCTTTTATGGTAGTTGAGGTTAGATTGGTGACTGAATGTTTTTTCACAAACGTCACAATTAAAAGGTTTTTCTCCAGTATGTGTCATTTTATGAGTTTTGAGGTGTTCTTTTCGTCCAAATGACTTTTCACACACATTGCATTTAAAAGCCTTTTCGTCCGTATGAATCCGCCAATGTCTTTTCAGGTTTGATTTTGATTTGAAACTTTTTAAACAAATACCACAATTAAATAGGACATCTTTGTTTCTAGTATAGTTATCAATAGAGTTTGTACAATTTGAAGTGTCGATCTCGTTACACGGATAATGAATACTGCAACACGCATGAAACAAAATAAATTAATTTAAGATCAATATTTTATAGCAAATATTAATATTACTATTATTATATGTGTTAATGCATCAATCAAGCATAATTTTTAAGAAATAATTTCAAGGATTTCGCACACGACACATAATAGTGTTGAAATTTACCCATTTGAAAATATTTTTACTTGTGTTATTTTTTAAAAATATAAAATATAATTTTTTATATTTTCAAATATAGAAATTAGAAAATATTTATTTATTTATCTTGTTTACAATGCATTAAATATTGGATTTTAAATGACTTCGTAAGTATTATAATAATTCAAATCTAAATAAGTAACGGTCAGTCTACATGTTTTATACATTTATAGAATATAAAAAGGGCGAGTATGTAATTTTGTATACAAAATATTATAAAATATTACTAGCAGTAGAAATACTCTGAATGTTATTTTTTAAGAAAAAAAAATAAAATAAAGAGGAGTTGAAGAAGTAGGAAAGTACGACAGAATCATAGAATTAAATATTCATCTCATCGAAAACTATAAGTAAATTAGCATTGAGAATAGCTACGAAATAAAAGAATAAGAGTAAACATGAATGTATGCAATTTTAATTTTATTACAGACAATTAAACGCGAAACAGAGACTAGAAATATAATAAGAGGGCTCCATACAGACCATTTTTAAGGAGTTTTGTATAGGCAATATTTAAGAAAAAATTGGTTTAAATAAATTTCGACCAAGTCAATAAATTTACCGGTTAATTTGTATAAGCTTCAAGGTATTATTTTTAATTTAAATCATTTTGTCTATGAGTAAAAGCCATTTGAGTTAATACAACATACATTTTTTGTTCCATCGCACAGGCTCAACCAGTGATCCGATAAGTAATATGAAAACAGATTTGAATTCGTCATGAAATTTACTTGACATCGGTCGACGTACTTTTTTGATTTCTTATTACTACTATGTATAAAACACGTTTGAACATTTTATACAATTTCAACATTTTAAAATAATATTTAGAAAGGGTTAAAATTTAAAATTGAAAAAGTCCTTCGACCGATCCTAAGTAAACTTCATGACAAATTCAGATCCGTGTTTAGATTGCTTATCGGATCACTGGCTAGGCCTGTGCGATGGAATGAAAATTATGTATTTTGACTGAAAAAATGGTCTGTATGGAGCCCCCTAAAAGGTAAAATTATTTTGCATGGTAATTTTTTATTCAACTAATACATATTACAGTATTATTTATAAAGCAATAGTAATTATTAACTTTTAATATAAACTGAGTGGCCATAGACATAGATTGGGTCTCCTATCGACAGTTATTTTCAGTACCTACACTATATTTTCATTAAATATAATCAAATTATTTATATATATATATATATAAAAAGTGGGCCAGAGAAACAGGAAAATTTGAAAGTTTTAGTGGCAGCCCTAAGGAGCTTCTAGAAAGGCGATAGTGTTATTTTTATGTTCACAGGTAACTGCTATTTAGTAATCATGGAATAGTAGGTCGGTTTAGACACCATAATATCCCCAAAGGAGGACTTGAAAGTAACTTATGCTTACTGTTAGTAATCAAACCTCACTTATAACTGTTATTTGTGACATGCATGATTCTTCTTTTAATAATTAAAGTAAACAACCTCATCACTAAACCGTCAATCAACGTTTACTTAAAACGGTAATTTATGCTTAAATTCTATTTTTCTTTGTTATGTCCGTGGTTACCTTAAAATATGGTTTTTAATTCGTCGTTTTGTCTTAAACGATTTTTGGCAGTAATTGCAGTCATACAACGGTGTTAGCTCGTTTTCAGCATCAAACAGTTCATGCCTTACGATTTCAATATCTGATTCGAACACACAGTCATTGAAGCATTCTTTTCCAAATTTGACAATCAAATTGTCGTTATTGCAGCTAAATTTACAACAAACAAAATTAACATAATTTATATTTTGTATTAAAATTAAAAAAAATATATACATAATAGTAACAAAAAAAAAGAATAAAGAACTTGCATGAATGTTAAAATTTAACGTGACACAGAGACTAGAAACATATTACAAGGGTAAAATACTTAATACCTGTGTAAAATAAAGAATAATTTAGTTTACATTGTTTGAAAAATAAAAACCATCCAAATTTTCAGTGGTATATTTTGTTTTTTTTAAATATTTAAAACTAAATTTTAATTTACTTAAGTTAGATGAATAACACAAAACTACAAGTATGACTATTGACTTATAGGTAAGAAGTCAAGACGATAAAGATTTAAGCTAAACGATAGACCATTTAGCGGACTAGGTTAATTTAATGTGGCGTTGATCCCGTATCATTAGACACAACACGACTCCGGTGTACGAAGCACCTATCTTTTAGGATACATGGGATTTTATACTTCAATAACTAAATAAGTGATTGGCTTCTTTTTGGTGTGAAAAAGTTACATAGATGCACATGGTCAGTTTCCAACAGCTGAATTAAATATATTTTGGTTTTGAAATGTGTTTCATTCACTAATTTGTCAGTATCGTGTTTATTGTTGGATACATCATAATGCTCATCAACTAAGTAATTAACAAAGCCTAAATTATTATTTTACTGTATATTCAGACTTTTATCTATAAATAGTTCAATAAATTTGGCTTTTGTGTAAGCATAGAAGGTCTATTAGCTAAAAGGAGAGTAAAAAAAAATACATATACATTTTTTATATATACTTAAAATTTGGATTTATTTATAATTCACAATCAGACCATTAACATTTTATTATTATAGAGATAAAAATAGAAATTACTTATGTACTATATATAAAACTTTTAAAATAGTATTTACTAAACAATTATTTTAAAAGAGTATACATTTTACTGCAAATTTAACTGATCGATAACAAGTTTTAAATAAACTCATATGTTTAATATAATTTAAACCCTTATGATTTATAATAGCTTAAAGTGAATTAAGTTACTCAAGAAAAGTTCATGTTTCTCTTTACTTTTTATAACGTCAAAAATAATTGTTTAAACAATATTATTAAAACTATTTTGAAAATGAATTATGACATCATCAATTACATTTTTTTTTAAATTACGGAGGAAGTCATAGTTACAAAAGCTTAATTGTTTTATCTAGTAAAAAATGGTATTAAAATTGACTTACTCATAAGTATTGTTGACTTCATTCTTTACTATACACTCCTCTATAGTAGAAACTTCATTGTTTTTGAACTGCACATTTAACGGTTTGGGTGCAATGACTTCAAAGGAGTGTTGTTCTGTTTCATCATTTTCAAGTTTAATTTTCAACATTTTATACCGCTTCCAAACTCTATAATTGACATTTATAGGACAAATTAATTACAAAACTTTACTATTTTATTAAGTATTAAATTTAGTAATAACAATGATATAACAAAGAATAATTTAGTTAACATGATTTGAAAAATAAAAAACCAACAAAGTTTTGAGTGGTATATTTTGTTTTTTTTTTAATATTTAAAACTAAATAATAATTTACTAAAATTACATGAATAACACAAAACTACAAGTACGACTTGTTGGTAAGAATCTAACACGATAAAGATTAAAACTAGACGATAGCCCATTTTGTCGACTACGTTAAATTAAAGTGACATTCTGTGTCATTCAACCAAACTCTGAGCAATTAGTAAGTAATAAACAAACACATATGGATTATGATTCTATTTATTAACAAGCAGCATTCTAAGTCAATGGAATACGGAAAACACGACAATAATGTATACAAAACGGTAGGTACTCACATAACATAGAACCGTAAACCGCTGTTCACGGCTGCTACTTAAAACTTATAATAAATTATTAACAGACAAGACAAAACACAATTGTAACTTACTAACAAAACACAACGCAATACGGTTGTATTTATCATAAAATAAGTTATTATGATTAATATTTAGAAATTCTCACGAATCGGACCCGTAGCAACAATAATGAAAACCAATTGTTTCTATGGCGCTAAATCTAATTGAACTAGTTATAATTCACAGAAAGGAGCGATTGCAAAATAAAAATCTCGGACACTAACAAAAACAAAATTTGTATTTAATGTAGGTTTATTAACGCGAACTGCAGGACAAATGACAATGCAAACATTTTCTAGACAGATTTGTGATAGTGTGTGTTTGTATGATAACGAGTGATTGTCACAGGTGGAGGTACACCGCAGCATGGAGGTAAACTGGAGTTTTATAAGGCATACAAATCAATTTCCCAACTCCGGTTTCAAAGCTTGTTGTAAATTTACCTTCATCGAAATCCTATAAAATGTATTAATGCGTTTACCTAAGTTTTTATTCGATATGGAAACCCCTTCGCTGACTTGTAAAATTAGTGTTCAATATTATAATTACATTACAACAAAAATACCATGTGTTATCTTTATCCCTATATTTTTTTATACAGCGTAATAAGGTAGTACGATTCGGTTTTTAATTTATCTGAGAACGCGACCATTCTGATTTACTACTAGCCAACCCTAATTATGAGTATTTTACTTTTAATCAAATATAAAAAACTATAACAAATCATACTATCTTTATAAAATATAAAACTGAAAAAATTAAAGATTAAAATACAAAGTTGTCTAGGGGACTTTTTAGGTATTCACCGTGTTTCCAATCAGTATAAAAATATAGTAAATAGTAACAAATATTATATTTCATAAGTTTGAAATAAGGAAAGCTAAAATTATAATAAATATTATATTATGGTTCCTCGAAACTTTTGAATAATGAGTTAAACAATAGTAAGAGGTTTTTACAAACAACCATTCTCCTGTAAAATTGTCTTTTTGTATCTACTTACATCGTTTAATCTTTGTTGAAGTTTGAACACAGTTGTATATTTTAAAATAACACAATACATTGTGTTTAAATTAGGGTTGGGACTAATATTCGGATTTGGCGGATATCCGGATTATTTGATATCCGGATAATTCGGATACGGATATCCGAAATCCGGATAATTTTGGATATCCGGATAATTGATCAACTATCCGGATATCCGAGTTTCAGATATCAAATAATATTTAAATTATCCGGAGAACCAAAACTATCCGAATAGTTAAAAAATTATCCGGATAGTTTCGGATGTTAATTTAATTTTTAACCAGCCGAATATATTTTTTTGAGTACTCAAATTTATGTATTTTTTGAAACTTTCACGGGTTGAAATATCACATGGATGATTTTCAGATATATTCGTGTCAGTGGTTATTAACCGGCAGCGGAACAGTCGTGACAACCCTGAGGATGGACTCTGCAAAGAGTCCGAATAGTCGGTTAACAACCACTAACACAGATATATCTAAAAATCATTCATGTGATAGTAAAATTTAATTAGGTGTCGTTATTTAATTATTCGGTATGTTTAAAAACACTGTACCTATATTATTATGGTATATTTGTCTTATAAAAATGAAATGAATATCCGGATAATTTTTAACTATCCGAAACTATCCGGATTTAGGATATCCGTATCCGAATTATCCGGATAATTCGGATAGGCCCAACCCCTAGTTTAAATCTCTAAAAAGGTCCATGTTGAGTCTATTATCTTATGTAATATTTGATATGGATCGTATAAATATTTAAAGTTAGATATTTTAGTTTAGATATTTCACTTGTATTCAATTCATACATGATTAACTAAATAATTTTATTTTTTTGTTCCAGAGCTGTTAATTTAACTCATTTTTCTCTACCTCAAAAATGCCATAGACCAATCAGATATTATGTGCAATGTATATAAACTTAACTAATATTTAAAATAAATCAATAAACAGGCTTTTCCGTTACTTGATACGCAAGTTTATTTATTTTACTCTTAATACTGGCTTTTTTTTGTCAAATAAGAGACATACTGGTGCATTTAGCGCGAGTAAAGTATTTATTAAATGTATCTATTTAATACTATACATTATCCATTTTTCATACATTCTTGTTTTAACATTTAAAATATATTATTAAAGTTAAAATTAAATTGTCAGTTCTTATTTTTGAAGTTAAATTATTTCTCAAGTAGTATTTAATAATACATTTTTCTAAATAAAAACTTAATTTAAATTTAATAGAATAATGGTGGTGTATTGACAAACTGTGAGATATTAAAAAGGAAGAAGGTTTTAACTTAACCGACAAAACATTAAAATTTTTAAATTTAATTAAAAACATTTCTTTCTTTGTTTTCGCTGCTTTTTGCCTGTTTATTACTAGGCACTGATTGGCAAAGATGCTTGTTTTTAACTACTTAAAGTTGTATTAGCTACATTCTTAAGTTATAAAAAAATTAACTCGAGCAAGTAAAAAGTTATTTTTTACAAATTCATCTGAAGTTAAAACAACGATTAAAAGCTTATTACGAAAAATCTGAGTAAGAAATGTTTCATCATTTTCAAGTTTTAGTCGTGTGCTTTTGCTTGATGCCTTTTTAGAGTATTTTGGTGACCATACGATTTTTTACAGACGGAGCATTCATAACGTACCCCACCAATATGTATGCGTTCATGAGTTTTGAGGGTAGATTGTTGACTGAATTTTTTTTCACACACATCGCACTTAAACGGTTTCTCACCGGTATGTATCCTTTCATGTTTCTTGAGATCACATTGTTGACAGAATGTCTTTGCACAGAAATCGCATCTAAATGGTTTCTCACCGGTATGTATCCTTTCATGTTTTTTGAGATTAGATTTTTGACTGAATTTTTTTTCACAGACATTGCATCTAAAAAGTGTTTCTCCGGTATGTGTTCTCTCATGAGTCTTGAGAGAAGACTGTTGACTGAATTTTCTTTCACACACATTGCATTTAAAAGGTTTCTCTCCGGTATGCATCCTTTTATGAGTTTTGAGGTAAGATTGTGTATTAAAACATTTTTCACAGAAATTGCATCTAAAAGGTTTCTCTCCGGTATGTATACGTGCATGAGTTTTGAGGGTAGATTGTTGACAGAATGTCTTTGCACAGAAATCGCATCTAAATGGTTTCTCACCGGTATGTATCCTTTCATGTTTCTTGAGATCACATTGTTGACAGAATGTCTTTGCACAGAAATCGCATCTAAATGGTTTCTCACCGGTATGTATCCTTTCATGTTTTTTGAGATTAGATTTTTGACTGAATTTTTTTTCACAGACATTGCATCTAAAAAGTGTTTCTCCGGTATGTGTTCTCTCATGAGTCTTGAGAGAAGACTGTTGACTGAATTTTCTTTCACACACATTGCATTTAAAAGGTTTCTCTCCGGTATGCATCCTTTTATGAGTTTTGAGGTAAGATTGTGTATTAAAACATTTTTCACAGAAATTGCATCTAAAAGGTTTCTCTCCGGTATGTATACGTGCATGAGTTTTGAGGGTAGATTGTTGACAGAATGTCTTTGCACAGACATCGCACTTAAAGGGCTTTTCGTCAGTATGAATCCGCCAATGTCTTCTCAGGGATAATTTTGATGTAAAACTTTTTAAACAAATACCACAATTAAATAGGACATCTTTGTTTCGAGTATAGTAATCCAAATAGTTTGTAAAATTTGAAGTGTCGATCTCGTTACAAGGATAATGAATACTGCAACACGCATGAAACAAAATAAATTAATTTAAGATTAATATTTTATAGCAAATATTAATATTACTATAGTTATATGTGTTAATGCATCAAACAAGCATAATTTTTTAGAAATAATTTCAAGGATTTGGCATACGACACATAATTACTAAAATAGTTGTACTTTATCTGTTTGTATTTATGTTATTTTAAGTGGCAGCTCTGAGGAGCTTTTAGAAAGTCGATAGTGTTATTTTTATGTTCACAGGTAACTGCTATTTAGTAATCATGGAATAGTAGGTCGGTTTAGACACCATAATATCCCCAAAGGAGGACTTGAAAGTAACTTATGCTTACTCTTAGTAATCAAACCTCACTTATAACTGTTATTTGTGACATGCAGGATTCTTTTAATAATTAAAGTAAACAACCTCATCACTAAACCGTCAATCAACGTTTACTTAAAACGGTAATTTATGCTTAAATTCTATTTTTCTTTGTTATGTCCGTGGTTACCTTAAAATATGGTTTTTAATTCGTCGTTTTGTCTTAAACGATTTTTGGCAGTAATTGCAGTCATACAACGGTGTTAGCTCTTTTTCAGCATCAAACAGTTCATGCCTTACGATTTCAATATCTGATTCGAAAACACAATCATTGAAGCATTCTTTTTCAAATTTGACATTCAAATCGTCGTTATTGCAGCTAAATTTACAACAAACAAAATTAACATAATTTATATTTTGTATTAAAATTAAAAAAAATATATACATAATAGTTACAAAAAAAAAAGAATAAAGAACTTGCGTGTATGTTAAAATTTACCATGACACAGAGACTAGAAACATATTACAAGGGTAAAATACTTGAAATCGTTGTAGGTGGAATGGTAGAAAACAATATAACATGGTAAATATCATGAGAATGTACGGTAACATAATGCAGTAATATAGACTTAGACCGGTCATCGTACCCACAATTTTATTTTTTTTGGTATTTTGGTTTAACATCATATTGATAAGAGGTAGATATAGTTTTAAAACAATCTTTAATCAAACGAAGAAGAGGTTATTACTATAAGTTAAATGTCAGCAAACGCTAACGTCGATACCAACGATGGGTTTATAGAGGAGGACGACATAATTACAAAAGATTAATAAATTTATTTAGGATAAAAAAAATGGTTATAAAAATAGCCTTACACATAAGTATTGTCGACCTTATTCTTTATCAAATACTCCTCTGTTGTAGAAATTTCATTGTTTTTGAACTGCACATTTAACGGTTTGGGTGCAATGACTTCAAAGGAGTGTTGTTCTGTTTCATCATTTTCAAGTTTAATTTTCAACATTTTATAACGCTTCCAAACTCTATAATTGACATTTATAGGACAAATTAATTACAAAACTTTACTATTTTATTAAGTATTAAATTTAGTAATAACAATGATATAACAAAGAATAATTTAGTTAACATGATTTGAAAAATAAAAAACCAACAAAGTTTTGAGTGGTATATTTTGTTTTTTTTTTAATATTTAAAACTAAAAAATAATTTACTAAAATTAGATGAATAACACAAAACTACAAGTACGACTTGTTGGTAAGAATCTAACACGATAAAGATTAAAACTAGACGATAGCCCATTTTGTCGACTATGTTAAATTAAAGTGACATTCTGTGTCATTCAACCAAACTCCGAGCAATTAGTAAGTAATAAACAAACACATATGGATTATAATTCTATTTATTAACAAGCAGCATTCTAAGTCAATGGAATACGGAAAACACGACAATAATGTATACAAAACGGTAGGTACTCACATTACGTAGAACCGTAAACCGCTGTTCACGGCTGCTACTTAAAATGTATAACAAATGAATTACAGGCAAGACAAAACTCAATTGGAACTCATTAACGAAACACAACGCAATACGTTAAGTATTTAATATTTATCACAGAATTCGACCAAGTTATTTTGATTAAAATCTAAAAAAAATTACCAATCGGACCCGTAGCAACAATAATGAAAACAAATTGTTTCTATGGCGCTAAATCTAATTGAACTAGTTATAATCAACAGAAAGGAGCGATTGCAAAATAAAAATCTCAAATACTAACAAAAACAAAGTTTGTATTTAATGTAGGTTTATTAACGCGAACTGCAAGACAAATGACAATGTAAACATTTTCTAGACAGATTTGTGATAGTGTGTGTTTGTATGATAACGAGTGATTGTCACAGGTGGAGGTACAACGCAGCATGGAGGTAAACTGGGGTTTTATAAGGCATACAAATCAATTACCCAACTCCGGTTTCAAAGCTTGTTGTAAATTTACCTTCATCGAAATCCTATATAATGTATTAATGCGTTTACCTAAGTTTTTATTCGTTATGGAAACCCATACGCTGACTTGTAAAATTAGTTTTTAATATTATGACCAAAAAATATATAATACAAATATATATTAATAATAATACAATTTACAACTAATATTCTGCATAATATAAAAGTTATTAAAAAATATATAGGTAGCACAATAAATCGAAAACACAGTAATACAGTGGAAACAATAAACTAAAAATATCAAAATAATTAAAATAAAACTTAATTTTCATAACCATGGTTAGTTGGTTATAAAAAAAATACACATTTTTAATTAATAACCAATTTAAAAATATAAACTTACTTGTTAATATTTTAACAAAATAACAATATTATCAACTATTTTTCATGTGTAAATTATAGAACTAAAAAATGATATTATAAAAATATAAAAACTTAAAAATGTATATAGTCTGTGAACAGAATTATAAGTCAAATAGAAAACGTCAAAGTAATGATCAATTAAACGATAGTAAACATTGAAAAACTATAAAAAAATTAAAGCTGACACTTATTATCCCTTTAAAATACCTATATGTGAATAGGTAGTTTTTCTTCGTACTAAAGAAAAAAAACAATACACTTTTATTAACATTTTGAATATATATATATATTTTTTTTTAATAGTATAATTTAAATATTCTTTTGTGTTTTATTATAAAATATGCAAATAAAAACTCAGTATATCGATCAACTGGTAGCTTAGTTGAAAACCGTGGTACAAATCTAAAAGAACTAAAATGTGTGTATTATATAATTTGGTAAATAATATAGTGAGGAGTTTTTACAAACAGCCAGTCTACTATGAAATTGTGTTTATGTATCTACTTACACTAATTATTAATTAAGCCATAGTTCTAAAATATTATATATGTGCGTTTTTTTTTTACTTAAGCTATCACGTATGATCTTTGTTGAACACAGAAGTCTATCAATGTTGAATCTATTATCTTATGTAATATTTAATATGGACAGTTAAGGTATTTAAAGATATTTCGCTTGAATTAAATTGATACATTATTAACTAATGAATTTCATTTATTTTTTCCAGAGCTGTTAATTTAACTCATATTTCTCCACTTCAAAATGCCATAGACCAATCAGATATTATGTGCAATGTATATAAACTAACTAATATTTAAAATCAATCAATAAACTGGCTTTTCCGTTACATAATACGCAAGTTTAATTATTTTACTCTTAATACTGTATTTTTTGTCAAACAAGAGACATACCATATTTAGCACGAAGAAAGTACTTATTAAATGTATCTATTTAATACTATACATTATCCATTTTTTATACATTCTTGTTTTAACTTTTAAAAACATATTATTATAGTTAAAATTAAATTGTCAGTTCTTATTTTTGAAGTTAAATTATTTCTCAAGTAGTATTTAATAATAAATTTTTCTAAACAAAAACTTAATTTAAATTTAATAGAATAATGGCGGTGTATCGACAAAGTGTGAGATATTAAAAAGGAATAAGGTTTTAACTTAACCGACAAAACATTAAAATTTTTTAATTTAATTAAAAACATTTCTTTCTTTGTTTTCGCTGCTTTTTGCCTGTTTATTACTAGGCCCTGGTTGGCAAAGATGCTTGTTTTTAACTACTTAAAGTTGTATTAGCTACATTCTTAACTTATAAAAAAATTAACTGGAGCAAGTAAAAAGTTACTTTTTAACAAATTCATCTGAAGTTAAACCAACGGCTAAAAACTTATTACGAAAAATCTGAGTAACAAATGTTCACACTACATTTGTTAATCGTCATACTTACAAAAACATTACCTTTATTATGATAGCTTTATGCTCCTGTTAATTATCACGGTGACAACGTTTAAATTTCAAATAAATAATTATCAGAAATTTTTCCAAAAATTTGAAATTGTTACCCCGTTTTTAAGATTCAATTTTAATAGATTTAATTTATTCAAAAACATTAGGTTATAAACCACAAAAAAATGGTGATTTCCAAAGTTTTTAAGTTTAATTAACAATTTATCTATCTGATATTGTTACTTAGTTGTGCCTACTTAAAAAAATCTACAGAAATATCTAATTTCGATTTATTATATATTTTTTGCAAAAAGAACTTTAGCAACAAATTGGTAATAATTACTAAATCCTTCGATGAACTGTTGATGAGACATCGTTTCTTATACCTAAACAAATAACGTTATTAACTCTGAAAATACCTTATTGTTTTAAATCAAGCGAAACCAAAATTAACTATTAAGTATTTTAATAAATAATAGAAACAGTATAATAACATATATTTTCTTCAACGTGTAAATAATGCATCAAACAAATTTTTTAAAATATAAATGTAGAAAGAAATTTTATACAGATGAAAACATAAAATTAATAAAATTAAAATATAAAAAAAGTTTCTATAAAAATGATTAGTCGGATAAAAATGAATAAATATTTTAAATTCAAAACCAAGTTTGAAGTATAAGCTTACATAATACTCGTATATTATACATTATTATGTTAAAACTTAAATTATTATAGCTTCACTATTATAACTGTAATTTAATATTTTTATGTTTGAGAACAATTAGTTTTCGAGTACCTTAACCGGAATTACAAAATATGATTCGACAAAGGTGAATAAAAAATTGAATTTTAGCTAAATAACCTTACCTAAGAAAAGAAAACAATCAGTATAATTTAAAAAAAAATGTTATTTAAACATTTACACAGAAAGTCCGACTATTACGCTGTGCTGATTTATATACAGTTTCAAATATAATATAAATTTAAAACTCAAGTTAAACTACTAACAAAAAACCATCAATTCAAAATTAACTTGTATACGAGTTTCTAGCCAAGACATTGCCTGAATAGATTTTATAATTTATACATTTGTTTTGTGTGTGAGCTAGAGAAATGTACTATAAAAAATATATTTCAGCACAATATTAATTCAATTAAAAAGTATATTTGATATTTATCTTTTTTTAACTTGGACGTTAAATGCCTTGGCTACCTATAATTACCTCGTAATTAACAATATAATGAAAATATGTTTATTATCTGTGTTAATTTACTCACACCTAGCAACCTGGAATTTGTTTACAATCAATGTACTCAAATCATGTATTTTAATTTTTATTTTGTGGCCTAACTATAGGTACATAATATGTATAGTAAGTAGTATAGTAGCACTATATTATAGTTTTGAACAATTTTGAACATCCCTTCTGCCCCAAATTGCACATCATTTTGTTAGTAAAAAAAATAAACAATAATTATACTATATTTCTATACGTGTTTAACTATTAGACTGTATTAGCCTTAGTGAAATATTATTATCATTATAATTAGGTATACTGTCTAAAACGAGCATCAACTATAGAAGTGTACACCGGATTATTTCCGGTAGAGTAATTTAATAACCTGTCAAAGTAATACTCAATTTAAAACCAACGGTATCTATTTCTGTTTTTGCGTTGAAATATTATAAAAACTAAATGACCTAAACTAAATAAAATAGCTTGGTGATTTCGAAAATTGTTGGTTGAAGCCTGTGATAAAAATACGGTAACTGCGCTTTATGATTAATTTTTATTATTCATAATACTAATAGTTGTTAGGTGTATTTTAACTTATGACCACTAATGTTTCTACTCTCAAACACGATGTGTGTTCTTGAGAACGAACCAATAAAACTAATAAAAACAATGTATTGAAGATATTTCCATAATTGCTGAACCGATGTTTTCATATACAAATTGAAACGCTAAATCTATATTTAAAATACTTTTTTAAAATTGGTTACAAAAAAATACAATTTGTAAGGGGAGGATTAGAAATATACACAATATTTTGTATGTAAACTAGTTATTGATAGTACTTTAATTAACTAATATCGTTTAATTAACTATAATATATATGATAGAAAAATCTATATTCACAACGATTTATCATCTTGCTAAAACGTATATATTATGCTACATAAAACAATTTATATTGTTGGTTAGACACAATTTATGTGAACTACAACTAGTAGTATTAGCTTTAATAGTAAAATTGCTCAATGTAATGTAATGTTTTTTAACAAAGGTCTGTAACCTTTTTACAATAGTATCTGAAAATGTGTCATATTTATTCACTAGACATTCATTTTCAATTTAATAAAATCTTGTACACTACAAATTAAAAACACCATCTTCCTTAAATACATTTTTGTACTATAATACAAAAGTAGCAAAATGAAACGAAAATACAAATTTTTGCAAAGGGAAAAACAACAAACTTAGAAAAAAAAATTGTATTTAATAATTATAAAATAATTCACTTAAACACGACTGGTAGATTGAGTTAACATAAATCTTGTAAACAAATTTTAATAGATAATAGAAAAATGTAATAAAAAAATCAACAGTTATTTTAGTAGACTATAAACTTATTTTAATAAATACTAGAAATAATATAATAGCCCACCTATAATTTACCGTGTAATAAATGCATCATACAGATGAAAAAATTAAATTAAAATAATTAAAAAATAAAAAAACAGTTTCCATAAATATGATTAGACGGATAAAAATATTTAAAATTAAAAATAAATTTTAAAATATAAACTTCTAATACTCGTTTAATAAAAATAATTTATATTTAAAACAAACAGTAATTATAAAAAATATATATGACCAAAAAATATATAATACAATTATATATGAATAATAATACAATTTACAACTAATATTCTGCATAATATAAATGTTATTAAAAAATATATAGGTAGCACAATAAAACGAAAACACAGTAATACAGTGGAAACAATAAACTAAAAATATCAAAATAATTAAAATAAAACGTAATTTTCATAACCATGGTTAGTTGGATACAAAAAAAAATACATATTTTTAATTAATAACCAATTTAAAAATATAAACTTACTTGTTAATATTTTAACAAAATAACAATATTATCTACTATTTTTCATGTGTAAATTATAGAACTAAAAAATGATATTATAAAAATATAAAAACTTAAAAATGTATATAGTCTGTGAAAAGAATTATAAGTCAAATAGAAAACGTCAAAGTAATGATCAGTTAAACGATAGTAAACATTAAAAAACTATAAAAAAAATTGGTAAATATACTCGTATATCAATAATTCATATTAAATCGTAGGTTAAATAAAGAGCAAAATAATGAAAAATTGTTACCAAAACTATTTTAAAACTGTCAAATAGTCACGAAAGGTATATGAGGTTTTAGTCGTGTGCTTTTGCTTGATGCCTTTTAAGATGATATTGGCAACTATACGATTTTTTACAGACGGAGCATTCATATCGTACCCCACCAATATGTATGCGTTCATGAGTTTTGAGGTTAGATGGATGACAGAATGTCTTTGCACAGACATCGCATTTGTAAGGTTTCTCTCCGGTATGTATCCTTTCATGATTTTTGAGATTAGATTTTTGACTGAATTTTTTTTCACAGACATCGCATCTAAAAAGTGTTTCTCCGGTATGTGTTCTCTCATGAGTCTTGAGAGAAGACTGTTGACTGAATTTTCTTTCACACACATTGCATTTAAAAGGTTTCTCTCTGGTATGTATCCTTTTATGGTAGTTGAGGTTAGATTGGTGACTGAATGTTTTTTCACAAACGTCACAATTAAAAGGTTTTTCTCCAGTATGTGTCATTTTATGAGTTTTGAGGTGTTCTTTTCGTCCAAATGACTTTTCACACACATTGCATTTAAAAGCCTTTTCGTCCGTATGAATCCGCCAATGTCTTTTCAGGTTTGATTTTGATTTGAAACTTTTTAAACAAATACCACAATTAAATAGGACATCTTTGTTTCTAGTATAGTTATCAATAGAGTTTGTACAATTTGAAGTGTCGATCTCGTTACACGGATAATGAATACTGCAACACGCATGAAACAAAATAAATTAATTTAAGATCAATATTTTATAGCAAATATTAATATTACTATTATTATATGTGTTAATGCATCAATCAAGCATAATTTTTAAGAAATAATTTCAAGGATTTCGCACACGACACATAATAGTGTTGAAATTTACCCATTTGAAAATATTTTTACTTGTGTTATTTTTTAAAAATATAAAATATAATTTTTTATATTTTCAAATATAGAAATTAGAAAATATTTATTTATTTATCTTGTTTACAATGCATTAAATATTGGATTTTAAATGACTTCGTAAGTATTATAATAATTCAAATCTAAATAAGTAACGGTCAGTCTACATGTTTTATACATTTATAGAATATAAAAAGGGCGAGTATGTAATTTTGTATACAAAATATTATAAAATATTACTAGCAGTAGAAATACTCTGAATGTTATTTTTTAAGAAAAAAAAATAAAATAAAGAGGAGTTGAAGAAGTAGGAAAGTACGACAGAATCATAGAATTAAATATTCATCTCATCGAAAACTATAAGTAAATTAGCATTGAGAATAGCTACGAAATAAAAGAATAAGAGTAAACATGAATGTATGCAATTTTAATTTTATTACAGACAATTAAACGCGAAACAGAGACTAGAAATATAATAAGAGGGCTCCATACAGACCATTTTTAAGGAGTTTTGTATAGGCAATATTTAAGAAAAAATTGGTTTAAATAAATTTCGACCAAGTCAATAAATTTACCGGTTAATTTGTATAAGCTTCAAGGTATTATTTTTAATTTAAATCATTTTGTCTATGAGTAAAAGCCATTTGAGTTAATACAACATACATTTTTTGTTCCATCGCACAGGCTCAACCAGTGATCCGATAAGTAATATGAAAACAGATTTGAATTCGTCATGAAATTTACTTGACATCGGTCGACGTACTTTTTTGATTTCTTATTACTACTATGTATAAAACACGTTTGAACATTTTATACAATTTCAACATTTTAAAATAATATTTAGAAAGGGTTAAAATTTAAAATTGAAAAAAGTCCTTCGACCGATCCTAAGTAAACTTCATGACAAATTCAGATCCGTGTTTAGATTGCTTATCGGATCACTGGCTAGGCCTGTGCGATGGAATGAAAATTATGTATTTTGACTGAAAAAATGGTCTGTATGGAGCCCCCTAAAAGGTAAAATTATTTTGCATGGTAATTTTTTATTCAACTAATACATATTACAGTATTATTTATAAAGCAATAGTAATTATTAACTTTTAATATAAACTGAGTGGCCATAGACATAGATTGGGTCTCCTATCGACAGTTATTTTCAGTACCTACACTATATTTTCATTAAATATAATCAAATTATTTATATATATATATATATAAAAAGTGGGCCAGAGAAACAGGAAAATTTGAAAGTTTTAGTGGCAGCCCTAAGGAGCTTCTAGAAAGGCGATAGTGTTATTTTTATGTTCACAGGTAACTGCTATTTAGTAATCATGGAATAGTAGGTCGGTTTAGACACCATAATATCCCCAAAGGAGGACTTGAAAGTAACTTATGCTTACTGTTAGTAATCAAACCTCACTTATAACTGTTATTTGTGACATGCATGATTCTTCTTTTAATAATTAAAGTAAACAACCTCATCACTAAACCGTCAATCAACGTTTACTTAAAACGGTAATTTATGCTTAAATTCTATTTTTCTTTGTTATGTCCGTGGTTACCTTAAAATATGGTTTTTAATTCGTCGTTTTGTCTTAAACGATTTTTGGCAGTAATTGCAGTCATACAACGGTGTTAGCTCGTTTTCAGCATCAAACAGTTCATGCCTTACGATTTCAATATCTGATTCGAACACACAGTCATTGAAGCATTCTTTTCCAAATTTGACAATCAAATTGTCGTTATTGCAGCTAAATTTACAACAAACAAAATTAACATAATTTATATTTTGTATTAAAATTAAAAAAAATATATACATAATAGTAACAAAAAAAAAGAATAAAGAACTTGCATGAATGTTAAAATTTAACGTGACACAGAGACTAGAAACATATTACAAGGGTAAAATACTTAATACCTGTGTAAAATAAAGAATAATTTAGTTTACATTGTTTGAAAAATAAAAACCATCCAAATTTTCAGTGGTATATTTTGTTTTTTTTAAATATTTAAAACTAAATTTTAATTTACTTAAGTTAGATGAATAACACAAAACTACAAGTATGACTATTGACTTATAGGTAAGAAGTCAAGACGATAAAGATTTAAGCTAAACGATAGACCATTTAGCGGACTAGGTTAATTTAATGTGGCGTTGATCCCGTATCATTAGACACAACACGACTCCGGTGTACGAAGCACCTATCTTTTAGGATACATGGGATTTTATACTTCAATAACTAAATAAGTGATTGGCTTCTTTTTGGTGTGAAAAAGTTACATAGATGCACATGGTCAGTTTCCAACAGCTGAATTAAATATATTTTGGTTTTGAAATGTGTTTCATTCACTAATTTGTCAGTATCGTGTTTATTGTTGGATACATCATAATGCTCATCAACTAAGTAATTAACAAAGCCTAAATTATTATTTTACTGTATATTCAGACTTTTATCTATAAATAGTTCAATAAATTTGGCTTTTGTGTAAGCATAGAAGGTCTATTAGCTAAAAGGAGAGTAAAAAAAAATACATATACATTTTTTATATATACTTAAAATTTGGATTTATTTATAATTCACAATCAGACCATTAACATTTTATTATTATAGAGATAAAAATAGAAATTACTTATGTACTATATATAAAACTTTTAAAATAGTATTTACTAAACAATTATTTTAAAAGAGTATACATTTTACTGCAAATTTAACTGATCGATAACAAGTTTTAAATAAACTCATATGTTTAATATAATTTAAACCCTTATGATTTATAATAGCTTAAAGTGAATTAAGTTACTCAAGAAAAGTTCATGTTTCTCTTTACTTTTTATAACGTCAAAAATAATTGTTTAAACAATATTATTAAAACTATTTTGAAAATGAATTATGACATCATCAATTACATTTTTTTTTAAATTACGGAGGAAGTCATAGTTACAAAAGCTTAATTGTTTTATCTAGTAAAAAATGGTATTAAAATTGACTTACTCATAAGTATTGTTGACTTCATTCTTTACTATACACTCCTCTATAGTAGAAACTTCATTGTTTTTGAACTGCACATTTAACGGTTTGGGTGCAATGACTTCAAAGGAGTGTTGTTCTGTTTCATCATTTTCAAGTTTAATTTTCAACATTTTATACCGCTTCCAAACTCTATAATTGACATTTATAGGACAAATTAATTACAAAACTTTACTATTTTATTAAGTATTAAATTTAGTAATAACAATGATATAACAAAGAATAATTTAGTTAACATGATTTGAAAAATAAAAAACCAACAAAGTTTTGAGTGGTATATTTTGTTTTTTTTTTAATATTTAAAACTAAATAATAATTTACTAAAATTACATGAATAACACAAAACTACAAGTACGACTTGTTGGTAAGAATCTAACACGATAAAGATTAAAACTAGACGATAGCCCATTTTGTCGACTACGTTAAATTAAAGTGACATTCTGTGTCATTCAACCAAACTCTGAGCAATTAGTAAGTAATAAACAAACACATATGGATTATGATTCTATTTATTAACAAGCAGCATTCTAAGTCAATGGAATACGGAAAACACGACAATAATGTATACAAAACGGTAGGTACTCACATAACATAGAACCGTAAACCGCTGTTCACGGCTGCTACTTAAAACTTATAATAAATTATTAACAGACAAGACAAAACACAATTGTAACTTACTAACAAAACACAACGCAATACGGTTGTATTTATCATAAAATAAGTTATTATGATTAATATTTAGAAATTCTCACGAATCGGACCCGTAGCAACAATAATGAAAACCAATTGTTTCTATGGCGCTAAATCTAATTGAACTAGTTATAATTCACAGAAAGGAGCGATTGCAAAATAAAAATCTCGGACACTAACAAAAACAAAATTTGTATTTAATGTAGGTTTATTAACGCGAACTGCAGGACAAATGACAATGCAAACATTTTCTAGACAGATTTGTGATAGTGTGTGTTTGTATGATAACGAGTGATTGTCACAGGTGGAGGTACACCGCAGCATGGAGGTAAACTGGAGTTTTATAAGGCATACAAATCAATTTCCCAACTCCGGTTTCAAAGCTTGTTGTAAATTTACCTTCATCGAAATCCTATAAAATGTATTAATGCGTTTACCTAAGTTTTTATTCGATATGGAAACCCCTTCGCTGACTTGTAAAATTAGTGTTCAATATTATAATTACATTACAACAAAAATACCATGTGTTATCTTTATCCCTATATTTTTTTATACAGCGTAATAAGGTAGTACGATTCGGTTTTTAATTTATCTGAGAACGCGACCATTCTGATTTACTACTAGCCAACCCTAATTATGAGTATTTTACTTTTAATCAAATATAAAAAACTATAACAAATCATACTATCTTTATAAAATATAAAACTGAAAAAATTAAAGATTAAAATACAAAGTTGTCTAGGGGACTTTTTAGGTATTCACCGTGTTTCCAATCAGTATAAAAATATAGTAAATAGTAACAAATATTATATTTCATAAGTTTGAAATAAGGAAAGCTAAAATTATAATAAATATTATATTATGGTTCCTCGAAACTTTTGAATAATGAGTTAAACAATAGTAAGAGGTTTTTACAAACAACCATTCTCCTGTAAAATTGTCTTTTTGTATCTACTTACATCGTTTAATCTTTGTTGAAGTTTGAACACAGTTGTATATTTTAAAATAACACAATACATTGTGTTTAAATTAGGGTTGGGACTAATATTCGGATTTGGCGGATATCCGGATTATTTGATATCCGGATAATTCGGATACGGATATCCGAAATCCGGATAATTTTGGATATCCGGATAATTGATCAACTATCCGGATATCCGAGTTTCAGATATCAAATAATATTTAAATTATCCGGAGAACCAAAACTATCCGAATAGTTAAAAAATTATCCGGATAGTTTCGGATGTTAATTTAATTTTTAACCAGCCGAATATATTTTTTTGAGTACTCAAATTTATGTATTTTTTGAAACTTTCACGGGTTGAAATATCACATGGATGATTTTCAGATATATTCGTGTCAGTGGTTATTAACCGGCAGCGGAACAGTCGTGACAACCCTGAGGATGGACTCTGCAAAGAGTCCGAATAGTCGGTTAACAACCACTAACACAGATATATCTAAAAATCATTCATGTGATAGTAAAATTTAATTAGGTGTCGTTATTTAATTATTCGGTATGTTTAAAAACACTGTACCTATATTATTATGGTATATTTGTCTTATAAAAATGAAATGAATATCCGGATAATTTTTAACTATCCGAAACTATCCGGATTTAGGATATCCGTATCCGAATTATCCGGATAATTCGGATAGGCCCAACCCCTAGTTTAAATCTCTAAAAAGGTCCATGTTGAGTCTATTATCTTATGTAATATTTGATATGGATCGTATAAATATTTAAAGTTAGATATTTTAGTTTAGATATTTCACTTGTATTCAATTCATACATGATTAACTAAATAATTTTATTTTTTTGTTCCAGAGCTGTTAATTTAACTCATTTTTCTCTACCTCAAAAATGCCATAGACCAATCAGATATTATGTGCAATGTATATAAACTTAACTAATATTTAAAATAAATCAATAAACAGGCTTTTCCGTTACTTGATACGCAAGTTTATTTATTTTACTCTTAATACTGGCTTTTTTTTGTCAAATAAGAGACATACTGGTGCATTTAGCGCGAGTAAAGTATTTATTAAATGTATCTATTTAATACTATACATTATCCATTTTTCATACATTCTTGTTTTAACATTTAAAATATATTATTAAAGTTAAAATTAAATTGTCAGTTCTTATTTTTGAAGTTAAATTATTTCTCAAGTAGTATTTAATAATACATTTTTCTAAATAAAAACTTAATTTAAATTTAATAGAATAATGGTGGTGTATTGACAAACTGTGAGATATTAAAAAGGAAGAAGGTTTTAACTTAACCGACAAAACATTAAAATTTTTAAATTTAATTAAAAACATTTCTTTCTTTGTTTTCGCTGCTTTTTGCCTGTTTATTACTAGGCACTGATTGGCAAAGATGCTTGTTTTTAACTACTTAAAGTTGTATTAGCTACATTCTTAAGTTATAAAAAAATTAACTCGAGCAAGTAAAAAGTTATTTTTTACAAATTCATCTGAAGTTAAAACAACGATTAAAAGCTTATTACGAAAAATCTGAGTAAGAAATGTTTCATCATTTTCAAGTTTTAGTCGTGTGCTTTTGCTTGATGCCTTTTTAGAGTATTTTGGTGACCATACGATTTTTTACAGACGGAGCATTCATAACGTACCCCACCAATATGTATGCGTTCATGAGTTTTGAGGGTAGATTTTTGACTGAATTTTTTTTCACACACATCGCACTTAAACGGTTTCTCACCGGTATGTATCCTTTCATGTTTCTTGAGATCACATTGTAGACAGAATGTCTTTGCACAGAAATCGCATCTAAATGGTTTCTCACCGGTATGTATCCTTTCATGTTTTTTGAGATTAGATTTTTGACTGAATTTTTTTTCACAGACATCGCATCTAAAAAGTGTTTCTCCGGTATGTGTTCTCTCATGAGTCTTGAGAGAAGACTGTTGACTGAATTTTCTTTCACACACATTGCATTTAAAAGGTTTCTCTCCGGTATGCATCCTTTTATGAGTTTTGAGGTAAGATTGTGTATTAAAACATTTTTCACAGAAATTGCATCTAAAAGGTTTCTCTCCGGTATGTATACGTGCATGAGTTTTGAGGGTAGATTGTTGACAGAATGTCTTTGCACAGAAATCGCATCTAAATGGTTTCTCACCGGTATGTATCCTTTCATGTTTCTTGAGATCACATTGTTGACAGAATGTCTTTGCACAGAAATCGCATCTAAATGGTTTCTCACCGGTATGTATCCTTTCATGTTTTTTGAGATTAGATTTTTGACTGAATTTTTTTTCACAGACATCGCATCTAAAAAATGTTTCTCCGGTATGTGTTCTCTCATGAGTCTTGAGAGAAGACTGTTGACTGAATTTTCTTTCACACACATTGCATTTAAAAGGTTTCTCTCCGGTATGCATCCTTTTATGAGTTTTGAGGTAAGATTGTGTATTAAAACATTTTTCACAGAAATTGCATCTAAAAGGTTTCTCTCCGGTATGTATACGTGCATGAGTTTTGAGGGTAGATTGTTGACAGAATGTCTTTGCACAGACATCGCACTTAAAGGGCTTTTCGTCAGTATGAATCCGCCAATGTCTTCTCAGGGATAATTTTGATGTAAAACTTTTTAAACAAATACCACAATTAAATAGGACATCTTTGTTTCGAGTATAGTAATCCAAATAGTTTGTAAAATTTGAAGTGTCGATCTCGTTACAAGGATAATGAATACTGCAACACGCATGAAACAAAATAAATTAATTTAAGATTAATATTTTATAGCAAATATTAATATTACTATAGTTATATGTGTTAATGCATCAAACAAGCATAATTTTAAAGAAATAATTTCAAGGATTTGGCATACGACACATAATTACTAAAATAGTTGTACTTTATCTGTTTGTATTTATGTTATTTTAAGTGGCAGCTCTGAGGAGCTTTTAGAAAGTCGATAGTGTTATTTTTATGTTCACAGGTAACTGCTATTTAGTAATCATGGAATAGTAGGTCGGTTTAGACACCATAATATCCCCAAAGGAGGACTTGAAAGTAACTTATGCTTACTCTTAGTAATCAAACCTCACTTATAACTGTTATTTGTGACATGCAGGATTCTTTTAATAATTAAAGTAAACAACCTCATCACTAAACCGTCAATCAACGTTTACTTAAAACGGTAATTTATGCTTAAATTCTATTTTTCTTTGTTATGTCCGTGGTTACCTTAAAATATGGTTTTTAATTCGTCGTTTTGTCTTAAACGATTTTTGGCAGTAATTGCAGTCATACAACGGTGTTAGCTCTTTTTCAGCATCAAACAGTTCATGCCTTACGATTTCAATATCTGATTCGAAAACACAATCATTGAAGCATTCTTTTTCAAATTTGACATTCAAATCGTCGTTATTGCAGCTAAATTTACAACAAACAAAATTGACATAATTTTTATTTTGTATTAAAATTAAAAAAAATATATACATAATAGTTACAAAAAAAAAAGAATAAAGAACTTGCGTGTATGTTAAAATTTACTATGACACAGAGACTAGAAACATATTTCAAGGGTAAAATACTTGAAATCGTTGTAGGTGGAATGGTAGAAAACAATATAACATGGTAAATATCATGAGAATGTACGGTAACATAATGCAGTAATATAGACTTAGACCGGTCATCGTACCCACAATTTTATTTTTTTTGGTATTTTGGTTTAACATCATATTGATAAGAGGTAGATATAGTTTTAAAACAATCTTTAATCAAACGAAGAAGTGGTTATTACTATAAGTTAAATGTCAGCAAACGCTAACGTCGATACCAACGATGGTTTATAGAGGAGGACGACATAATTACAAAAGATTAATAAATTTATTTAGGATAAAAAAAATGGTTATAAAAATAGCCTTACACATAAGTATTGTCGACCTTATTCTTTATCAAATACTCCTCTGTTGTAGAAATTTCATTGTTTTTGAACTGCACATTTAACGGTTTGGGTGCAATGACTTCAAAGGAGTGTTGTTCTGTTTCATCATTTTCAAGTTTAATTTTCAACATTTTATACCGCTTCCAAACTCTATAATTGACATTTATAGGACAAATTAATTACAAAACTTTACTATTTTATTAAGTATTAAATTTAGTAATAACAATGATATAACAAAGAATAATTTAGTTAACATGATTTGAAAAATAAAAAACCAACAAAGTTTTGAGTGGTATATTTTTTTTTTTTTTTAATATTTAAAACTAAATAATAATTTACTAAAATTAGATGAATAACACAAAACTACAAGTACGACTTGTTGGTAAGAATCTAACACGATAAAGATTAAAACTAGACGATAGCCCATTTTGTCGACTATGTTAAATTAAAGTGACATTCTGTGTCATTCAACCAAACTCCGAGCAATTAGTAAGTAATAAACAAACACATATGGATTATAATTCTATTTATTAACAAGCAGCATTCTAAGTCAATGGAATACGGAAAACACGACAATAATGTATACAAAACGGTAGGTACTCACATTACGTAGAACCGTAAACCGCTGTTCACGGCTGCTACTTAAAATGTATAACAAATGAATTACAGGCAAGACAAAACTCAATTGGAACTCATTAACGAAACACAACGCAATACGTTAAGTATTTAATATTTATCACAGAATTCGACCAAGTTATTTTGATTAAAATCTAAAAAAAATTACCAATCGGACCCGTAGCAACAATAATGAAAACAAATTGTTTCTATGGCGCTAAATCTAATTGAACTAGTTATAATCAACAGAAAGGAGCGATTGCAAAATAAAAATCTCAAATACTAACAAAAACAAAGTTTGTATTTAATGTAGGTTTATTAACGCGAACTGCAAGACAAATGACAATGTAAACATTTTCTAGACAGATTTGTGATAGTGTGTGTTTGTATGATAACGAGTGATTGTCACAGGTGGAGGTACAACGCAGCATGGAGGTAAACTGGGGTTTTATAAGGCATACAAATCAATTACCCAACTCCGGTTTCAAAGCTTGTTGTAAATTTACCTTCATCGAAATCCTATATAATGTATTAATGCGTTTACCTAAGTTTTTATTCGTTATGGAAACCCATACGCTGACTTGTAAAATTAGTTTTTAATATTATGACCAAAAAATATATAATACAAATATATATTAATAATAATACAATTTACAACTAATATTCTGCATAATATAAAAGTTATTAAAAAATATATAGGTAGCACAATAAATCGAAAACACAGTAATACAGTGGAAACAATAAACTAAAAATATCAAAATAATTAAAATAAAACTTAATTTTCATAACCATGGTTAGTTGGTTATAAAAAAAATACACATTTTTAATTAATAACCAATTTAAAAATATAAACTTACTTGTTAATATTTTAACAAAATAACAATATTATCAACTATTTTTCATGTGTAAATTATAGAACTAAAAAATGATATTATAAAAATATAAAAACTTAAAAATGTATATAGTCTGTGAACAGAATTATAAGTCAAATAGAAAACGTCAAAGTAATGATCAATTAAACGATAGTAAACATTGAAAAACTATAAAAAAATTAAAGCTGACACTTATTTTCCCTTTAAAATACCTATATGTGAATAGGTAGTTTTTCTTCGTACTAAAGAAAAAAAACAATACACTTTTATTAACATTTTGAATATATATATATATTTTTTTTTAATAGTATAATTTAAATATTCTTTTGTGTTTTATTATAAAATATGCAAATAAAAACTCAGTATATCGATCAACTGGTAGCTTAGTTGAAAACCGTGGTACAAATCTAAAAGAACTAAAATGTGTGTATTATATAATTTGGTAAATAATATAGTGAGGAGTTTTTACAAACAGCCAGTCTACTATAAAATTGTGTTTATGTATCTACTTACACTAATTATTAATTAAGCCATAGTTCTAAAATATTATATATGTGCGTTTTTTTTTTACTTAAGCTATCACGTATGATCTTTGTTGAACACAGAAGTCTATCAATGTTGAATCTATTATCTTATGTAATATTTAATATGGACAGTTAAGATATTTAAAGTTATTTCGCTTGAATTAAATTGATACATTACTAACTAATGAATTTAATTTATTTTTTCCAGAGCTGTTAATTTAACTCATATTTCTCCACTTCAAAATGTCATAGACCAATCAGATATTATGTGCAATGTATATAAGCTTAACTAATATTTAAAATCAATCAATAAACTGGCTTTTCCGTTACATAATAAGCAAGTTTAATTATTTTACTCTTAATACTGTATTTTTTGTCAAACAAGAGACATACCTATTGGTATATTTAGCACGAAGAAAGTACTTATTAAATGTATCTATTTAATACTATACATTATCCATTTCTTATACATTCTTGTTTTAACTTTTAAAAACATATTATTATAGTTAAAATTAAATTGTCAGTTCTTATTTTTGAAGTGAAATTATTTCTCAAGTGGTATTTAATAATACATTTTTCTAAATAAAAACTTAATTTAAATTTAATAGAAAAATGGCGGTGTATCGACAAAGTGTGAGATATTAAAAAGGAATAAGGTTTTAACTTAACCGACAAAACATCAAAATTTTTAAATTTAATTAAAAACATTTCTTTCCTTGTTTTCGCTGCTTTTTGCCTGTTTATTACTAGGCACTGGTTGGCAAAGATGCTTGTTTTTAACTACTTAAAGTTGTATTAGCTACATTCTTAACTTATAAAAAAATTAACTGGAGCAAGTAAAAAGTTACTTTTTAACAAATTCATCTGAAGTTAAACCAACGGCTAAAAACTTATTACGAAAAATCTGAGTAACAAATGTTCACACTACATTTGTTTATCGTCATACTTACAAAGACATTACCTTTATTATGATAGCTTTATGCTCCTGTTAATTATCACGGTGACAACGTTTAAATTTCAAATAAATAATTATCAGAAATTTTTCCAAAAATTTGAAATTGTTACCCCGTTTTTAAGATTCAGTTTTAATAGATTTAAGTTATTCAAAAACATTAAGTTATAAACCACAAAAAAATGGTGATTTCCAAAGTTTTTAAGTTTAATTAACAATTTATCTATCTGATATTGTTACTTAGTTGTGCCTACTTAAAAAAATCTACAGAAATATCTAATTTCGATTTATTATATATTTTTTGCAAAAAGAACTTTAGCAACAAATTGGTAATAATTACTAAATCCTTCGATGAACTGTTGATGAGACATCGTTTCTTATACCTAAACAAATAACGTTATTAACTCTGAAAATACCTTATTGTTTTAAATCAAGCGAAACCAAAATTAACTATTAAGTATTTTAATAAATAATAGAAACAGTATAATAACATATATTTTCTTCAACGTGTAAATAATGCATCAAACAAATTTTTTAAAATATAAATGTAGAAAGAAATTTTATACAGATGAAAACATAAAATTAATAAAATTAAAATATAAAAAAAGTTTCTATAAAAATGATTAGTCGGATAAAAATGAATAAATATTTTAAATTCAAAACCAAGTTTGAAGTATAAGCTTACATAATACTCGTATATTATACATTATTATGTTAAAACTTAAATTATTATAGCTTCACTATTATAACTGTAATTTAATATTTTTATGTTTGAGAACAATTAGTTTTCGAGTACCTTAACCGGAATTACAAAATATGATTCGACAAAGGTGAATAAAAAATTGAATTTTAGCTAAATAACCTTACCTAAGAAAAGAAAACAATCAGTATAATTTAAAAAAAAATGTTATTTAAACATTTACACAGAAAGTCCGACTATTACGCTGTGCTGATTTATATACAGTTTCAAATAAAATATAAATTTAAAACTCAAGTTAAACTACTAACAAAAAACCATCAATTCAAAATTAACTTGTATACGAGTTTCTAGCCAAGACATTGCCTGAATAGATTTTATAATTTATACATTTGTTTTGTGTGTGAGCTAGAGAAATGTACTATAAAAAATATATTTCAGCACAATATTAATTCAATTAAAAAGTATATTTGATATTTATCTTTTTTTAACTTGGACGTTAAATGCCTTGGCTACCTATAATTACCTCGTAATTAACAATATAATGAAAATATGTTTATTATCTGTGTTAATTTACTCACACCTAGCAACCTGGAATTTGTTTACAATCAATGTACTCAAATCATGTATTTTAATTTTTATTTTGTGGCCTAACTATAGGTACATAATATGTATAGTAAGTAGTATAGTAGCACTATATTATAGTTTTGAACAATTTTGAACATCCCTTCTGCCCCAAATTGCACATCATTTTGTTAGTAAAAAAAATAAACAATAATTATACTATATTTCTATACGTGTTTAACTATTAGACTGTATTAGCCTTAGTGAAATATTATTATCATTATAATTAGGTATACTGTCTAAAACGAGCATCAACTATAGAAGTGTACACCGGATTATTTCCGGTAGAGTAATTTAATAACCTGTCAAAGTAATACTCAATTTAAAACCAACGGTATCTATTTCTGTTTTTGCGTTGAAATATTATAAAAACTAAATGACCTAAACTAAATAAAATAGCTTGGTGATTTCGAAAATTGTTGGTTGAAGCCTGTGATAAAAATACGGTAACTGCGCTTTATGATTAATTTTTATTATTCATAATACTAATAGTTGTTAGGTGTATTTTAACTTATGACCACTAATGTTTCTACTCTCAAACACGATGTGTGTTCTTGAGAACGAACCAATAAAACTAATAAAAACAATGTATTGAAGATATTTCCACAATTGCTGAACCGATGTTTTCATATACAAATTGAAACGCTAAATCTATATTTAAAATACTTTTTTAAAATTGGTTACAAAAAAATACAATTTGTAAGGGGAGGATTAGAAATATACACAATATTTTGTATGTAAAATAGTTATTGATAGTACTTTAATTAACTAATATCGTTTAATTAACTATAATATATATGATAGAAAAATCTATATTCACAACGATTTATCATCTTGCTAAAACGTATATATTATGCTACATAAAA